GGTCATTGTAGTGGGGGATTTTAACATTCATGTGGACATTGAAAGTGATAGCCTCAATGTAGCCTTTAGTAATATCTTGAACTCAATTGGTTTTACTCAAAGAATACATAGCTCCACCCACTCCTGCCATCATACATTGGATCTTGTGCTGACTTATGGCATAGAGTGTGAGGAAATAACGATCTTTCCACATAAATCAGTCCTCTCGGACCACTTTCTGATAACCTTTGAGTTTTTTATAACTGAGTTCTTGAGACATGAAAGTAAATTTCACTATAGTCGGTCTCTATCTGACAACGCTGTTGCATTTTTTAAATCAACTGTTCCATCTTTACTGTCCTCAGCATCTCAGAGGCATGCAGCAGAGGGCAATATTTTCAGTTCTAGCCCCTCACAAATTGATGCCTTAGTTCAAAATCTTACTTCCTCTTTACGTGTGGGATTAGATGATGTTGCCCCTTTAAAAAATAAGGCAATTAGGGACAGGAAGTTGGCTCCCTGGTTTAATTCTCATTTACGAGCTTTAAAACAAAACTCTAGAAAAATTGGAGAGAACATGGCGCTCTACGTACCATGAGGAGTCCTACATATCCTGGAAAAATAGTCTTGCGCTTTATAAAAATAAGCTTCGACAAACTAGAACTGCTTATTTCTCAGCATTAATTGAGGAGAATAAGAATAATACTCAATTTCTTTTCAGTACAGTTGCCAAACTTACACAGAATCATAGCTCTGAACCATCTATTCCCTTAGCCCTCAGCAGTAACAACTTTATGGGATTTTTCACAAGTAAAATTAATTATTTTAGAAATCAAATCTTTAGCATCCTCCCTAACGCGATTTCTTCTTCCTCAGTAAGTGAGGCAGCATCAGAGGTAACTGTAGAACCTCATCTGTGCTTGAACCGTTTTGATCCAGTTGAGCTTTCAGAGTTATCAAAAATATTAGCTTCATCTAAACCTTCCACTTGCATTTTAGATCCAATCCCAACCAAATTATTTAAAGATGCTTTTCTTTTGGTTACTGCCCCCATTCTAGATATAATCCATCTATCCTTAGTAAATGGATATGTACCACAGGATTTTAAGGTTGCTGTAATCAAGCCTTCACTTAAGAAACCTTCTCTGGATCCAGATGACCCAATGAATTATAGACCAATATCTAACCTTCCATTTTTATCCAAAGTCCTGGAGAAAATAGTGGCCATCCAAGTATGTGAGCATTTAAACACTAATGCTCTGTTTGAGGAATTTCAGTCTGGTTTTAGAGAGTATCACAGCACTGAAACTGCATTAGTGAGAGTTACAAATGATATTCTCATGGCCTCAGATAAGAATCTTGTGTCTGTTCTAGTCTTGTTAGATCTCAGTGCTGCCTTTGACACAGTTGATCACAATGTTCTTTTTAGAAAGACTTGAACATGTTGTAGGGATCAAAGGAACAGCGTTAGGCTGGTTTAAATCCTACCTGTCTAACAGATTTCATTTTGTAAATGTACATGACAAATCTTCTTCTTACTCCAGGGTTACCTGTGGAGTACCACAGGGTTCAGTGGTTGGACCAATTCTTTTTACTATATATATGCTCCCAATTGGTAAAATAATTAGACAGCATGGGATAAACTTTCAATGTTATGCTGAAAGTTTCAGCTATATTTATCCATTAACCCTGATGAACCTAATCGGTTGGGTACCTTACAGGCTTGTCTTGAGGACATAAAAAATTGGATGACTCTAAACTTCTTGCTTTTAAATCAAGACAAGACGGAAGTTCTCATCTTTGGACCAGAAATCCAGAAAAGGAAATTGCTTAGTCAATCACCTGACCTGAATGGCATTACATTAATCTCTGAGAACAAAGTAAGGAACCTTGGTGTTATCTTTGACCAGGACATGTCATTCAAATCCCAAGTTAAACAGGTTTGTAGGATTTATTTTTTCCACCATCGGAATATTGCTAAGATTAGAAGCATACTTTCCAGGAGTGATGCTGAAAAACTAGTTAATGCATTTATTACATCAAGACTGGATTAGTGTAATTCATTACTCTCAGGAAGTCCACAGAATGTAGTTTAAAGTCTTCAGCTTGTCCAAAATGCTGCAGCTAGAGTTCTGATGAGAATTAAAAAGAGAGATCATATCTCTCCTGTCTTAGCTTCCCTACATTGGCTACCTGTAAAATTCAGAATAGATTTTAAGATCCTTCTTCTCACACATAAAGCTTTTAATAATCACACTCCATCATACATCAGTGATCTGATTGTTCCATACGTTCCTAACCGAGCACTTCACTCTCAGACTGCAGGTTTACTGGTGGTTCCCAGAATATCTAAAATTAGGATGGGAGGCAGATCTTTTAGTTATCAGGCTCCTCTCCTGTGGAACCAGCTCCCAGCTTTGGTCCGTGAGACAGACACCTTGTCTACTTTTAAGACTAGGCTTAAAACATTTTTATTTGATAGGGCCTATAGTTAAAATCTGATGTTAGCCTAAATCTGGACAAGTGGGGGAGTAGAGGGAGGTGGAGTGTACAGTCGGTAAAGACGACTCTCCCTTGCCCTGCCTCCATCCTTCCTCCATCTAAAAGGCTAGGTTATCCAGTTATCTCTGTAGTTATGCTGCTATAGGCTTAGACTGCTGGAGGATACACTGACCACTTTTCACACTCTACTACTTTCTACAACGATCTGCTCTTTAACTGTATTCTTTCCTGCTATTTCAGCTGTTAACTTTATTTTCTCTCTAAGTGTTTTTCTCCCCAGAAGAAGCTACAATGATGTTCTGCTGAGCTGTGGTGGTCTCATGGAGGGGGCCATCGTCTAGCACACTGCTACTAACCACTTAAACATTCTCCCTCTCCTGATAATAACTTTTTGCTTTCCTTGACGTTGGATGTGCTACTACTAGTTTACCCATTTAACAATAGATTCACTAGGATAAATACAATAAAGTTTATCTCTCGCCAAATGGAATATCTACTAAGAAATCACAATGTAACCATAGACACATTGCTTGTGTGTGTGTGTGTGTGTGTGTGTGTGTGTGTGTGTGTGTGTGTGTGTGTGTGTGTGTGTGTGTGTGTGTGTGTGTGTCTGCTCTGTCTTCTCGATCCCCAGTGAGTCGTGGAGGATGGTTGCTTATACTGAGCCAGGATCCTCTGGAGGTTTCTTCCTGTTAAAAGGGAGTTTTCCTCTCCACTGTCACTAAATGCTTGCTTAGTATGAGGATTGCTGTATAGTCACTGACACTAGTCAGTGACTTGATGCAATTTGCTGGGTTCCTTATATAGGAAACATTTTTTTATTGGCTTAATGAACTGACCTGAATTGGAATGTTTATGATGTGAAGTGCCTTGAGATGACTGTTGTTGTGATTTGGCGCTATATAAATAAACTTGAATTGAATTGAGAATGACCTGACTTTCCACCAAGGGATTGGGGTTTATCAATTAAAACAAAACAAATACAGATTCTAGATACTTACCGGAACCCTATTAGATTATTCTGGTCCAGGTAACATCCTCCTGCTGGCAGTGAAGCTGCATTTGACTCTACGTTTTCTTAACATGTTTGTTTAAATGTTAAATCCTCCCAGTTTAACCTGAGTAATAATAGTCTAACTTCCTTCCATCACACAGAATCATTGTGTTGTGCAACAGTAATAAGTGACCTGTTGAAACATGATGACTGAGCGTAATTCACTCTGTTGTTTAAACCATCGCATGAGGGTTCACTTTCCTGAGATGTGAGTCACTGGTGACTGCACTACAGCTGTCCTAGTCTTTGTAACTGGGTTAGTTTCTGCTCGTTCCTACCTGTGCAGCTCACACCTGTGTGGGTCTGACACACTTTGGGGATTAACACCACACTATAGTGCTGATCACAGCTGAAAGCACAGCCCAGATGGCTATGTAGCATTTAGCCTTTTGTCTCCAGTCAATGGCCCTGTTTAGTGTTGTATCAGTGACCTTGCCGTGACACTGACTCAGAGTTTCTCCTGAATGGAAAAGTCCGGTAAATGAGCAGAGCTGTGTTCGGTGTTTTGGCCAGTACTGGTTTGTATTGATCTATGCTCCTTCTTACAGCTGTGGCTGGCAGGTTCTTCTCCTCGTGAAGTTATTGTTGGAGCATAGTTCAGTTGGATTACGCTGCTACAGTCAGTCGGGTTGTTCTGTGTGTTAATCTGCATTTAACCCTAACCTCAACCCTCCCATTTAGCAGTTAGCTTACTAGCTTGGCATTTGCATGGGTCATCCATCCATGTTAATCCTAACGTCAGCTCAGTTAATTATTGACTCCTGAGATTAGAAGAAGTAATATGCAGATAAATAAAATAATTATGACAAATCTTCTTGTCCTCTAACTTTGGGTTAATTCTAAGCTCCCACCACCGTGTGCATGTGTGTGTGTGTGCTAAAAATCTCCAAAGCATCAGAACAAATCCTCATGAGACCCTCATACCGTAATGACGGGTTGAACATTTACAGCTGATTCACTGTTTGAGTCTACCTCATTCATGATGGCTACCACAGCCAATCGCCACTAGCAGACACTAGACATGTAAAAACATGATAAAAAAAACGGTTAGCTTCCTGAACCAGATGATAACACAGGGTGACATTAGCTGATTCACTGTTTGAGTCTACTTCATTCATGATGGCTACCAGCAGAGCCAATCGCCACTAGCAAACACTAGACATGTAAAAACATGATAAAAAAAACCAAAACGGTTATCTTTCTGAACCAGATGATAACACAGGGTGACATTAGCTCCTTCATAGTTATGATGGGAGTTTATTACTCCAAATGTTTAAAAAAGGTTGCTTGAAATCAGTTTCAGGATTGACATAAATTTAAAGGTTTCACTTTGGTTCAAAAGCACATCAGAGTTAGTGATAACTATCATTCTGGTGGTTCTAATGGATCTGATTGCAGAGCAGAAATACCTCTCCGCCAGGTTTTCTGGAGCTCCCTCTAACTGTTGTTCTCCCGCTCTCTGCAGGTCCGTGGGGTCGCTGCATGGGAAGCGAGTGTGGTCCAGGAGGAAGCCAGAGCAGAGCGGTGTGGTGCGCTCATTCTGAGGGCTGGACCACCCTCCATACAAACTGTGACCAGGCACAGCGGCCGAACAACCAGCAGAGCTGTTTCAGAGTTTGTGATTGGCACAAAGACCTGTATGAATGGCAGCTGGGTGCCTGGAACCAGTGCATCCCAGTTCTGTTGCGTAACGCCGGGGCGCTGCGCCCCACCATGTGCTCACGAGGAGAGGAGGGCATCCAGACTCGGGAGGTGGGGTGTGTCCAGAGATCCAATGGTGAGCCTGCTGAAGATGCAATCTGTGAATACTTTGAGCCTAAACCACGCCTGGAACAGGCCTGTCTGATACCATGTCCTCGCAACTGTGTGGTATCGGAGTTCAGCCCATGGACTTCATGCTCTAAAACTTGTGGGATGGGTTTACGGAACCGGATCCGCTTTGTTCTGGCGCCACCGCTGTTTGGTGGATCAGCCTGTCCAAATCTGACTGAATTTCAAACATGCCAGCCAGGTTCCTGTGATGGAGAGGAAAACCTGTTCAGCCTCAGAGTGGGACCATGGGGGCCTTGCTCCGTCCCACTGCCAAGACAAGCCAGACAAGCCGAAAAAACAGCCAGAGGGGGCAACAAAAGGTCAAGAGACAGTGGTAAAGCTCCTAAAGAGGGCAAAAAGCAGTCAAGGGAGGGGGAGACGCCATCCAGAGGCGAGAAACCTCCCAGAGAGAGCAACAAGCAGTCAATCGAAGGAAAAAAACAGAGAGATGATGAAAAACAGTACCCAGGTAAAGACAAAAACTCAAAGGACGAAGACAAACTCTCCAGGAATGATAACAAACAACTCAATAGAAAACTGGACCGAGCAAATGGAAAACCAGACAGGCCTTCTAGACAGGCTGATCGTCCCAAACGACAGAAAAAGCTCAAAAACAGAGGGAAGAAGGAGAAAATCAGAGATAAGATCAAAGGGAGATTACGAGAAAGGGGGAAGACAAAGGACCCTGAGGCTAAAGAACTAATGAAAAAAAAAAGGCTCAAGAATCGTCAGAACCGTCCTGGGGGAAAGTTCTGGGATCTACAAGTCGGCTACCAGACCAGAGAGGTGATGTGTGTCCACAAGAGCGGAAACGTCGAAGCTCTGAGGTAAGAGCCAGTGAAATGCACACTGTTGTTTTTCTGTGCTTTACATATTGTAAACTTTGTTGTGATTTTCATAAACATGACATTAGGCTTTTAGTTTGCTGTGATTGGTGGATTATGTCAATAGTCACTCACATTTTCTTCTACGGTTGGAAGTGATGTGAAATATTCATGAAAAACAGGAATGTTACATTCCTGCTTTGCTGTTACAGAGACTTGCAGATATTTAGTGATGCTTAATAATTAATCAGCCTGAGAAATGGCTGCTGAGACATGTACGATAACCAATCATAATGAAAGGGTTGAACCCTATACAGTGGGGCAAAAAAGTATTTAGTCAGCCACCGATTGTGCAAGTTCTCCCACTTAAAATGACGACAGAGGTCAGTAATTTACATCATTGGTACACTTCAACTGTGAGACACAGAATGTGAAAAAAAAATCCATGAATTCACATGGCAGGATTTTTAAAGAATTTATTTGTAAATCAGGGTGGAAAATAAGTATTTGGTCACTTCAAACAAGGAAAATCTCTGGCTCTCACAGACCTGTAACGTCGTCTTTAAGAAGCTTTTCTGTCCTCCACTCATTACCTGTATTAATGGCACCTGTTTGAACTCATTATCTGTATAAAAGACACCTGTCCACAGCCTCAAACAGTCAGACTCCAAACTCCACTATGGCCAAGACCAAAGAGCTTTCGAAGGACACCAGGAAAAGAATTGTAGACCTGCACCAGACTGGGAAGAGTGAATCTACAATAGGCAAGCAGCTTGGTGTGAAAAAATCAACTGTGGGAGCAATTATCACAAAATGGAAGACATACAAGACCACTGATAATCTCCCTCGATCTGGGGCTCCACACAAGATCTCATCCCGTGGGGTCAAAATGATCATGAGAACGGTGAACAAGAATCCAAGAACCACACGGTGGGACCTGGTGAATGACCTGCAGAGAGCTGGGACCACAGTAACAAAGGTCACCATCAGTAACACACTACAACGGCAGGGAATCAAATCCTGCAGTGCCAGACGTGTTCCGCTGCTGAAACCAGTGCATGCCCAGGCCCGTCTGAAGTTTGCCAGAGAGCACATGGATGAAACAGCAGAGGAATGGGAGAATGTCATGTGGAATGAGCCAAAATACCAGCTACTGTGTGTGCAAACCTGGTAAAGACCTATAGTAATCGTTTGACCTCTGTTATTGCCAACAGAGGTTATGTTACAAAGTATTGAGTTGAATTTTTACAAGTAAATTCTTTAAAAATCCTGCCATGTGAATTCATGGATTATTTTTTCACATTCTGTCTCTCACAGTTGAAGTGTACCTATGATGTAAATTACTGACCACTGTCATCATTTTAAGTGGGAGAACTTGCACAATCGGTGGCTGACTAAATACTTTTTTGCCCCACTGTAGAATCAAGATCTCTCCCTGAGCTAGTACAGCCCCCCCTTCTATCCTAGTCTTGTCTATGGCCGAAATAATAATTTTAGACAATTGTGATAAAGTCACCACCAACAAGCAGGCTTTTTCTTTGGGTAGAACCATAGACCGTTTAAAAGACAGACCTGACACACCATCTCCCATAGGTTTTTGAAGAGCTGAATTGAAGCCTGGTGGGCGGTTACCACCACCAGCTGATGTAGCGATGAGCTAACTGATGACGAGCTAACCTAGGCTAACGGAGGTTGGCAGGCGCCTTTGGCCAGAAAAATTACTGCCCCTCTGCTTTCTAGGATGTAATACTTTTAATGTGAAGTTGATCTATCTCCTTTTTTTTATTTTTATTTTTTTCATGTCCTGTCTGGCTGTGAAGCAAACAGAATTAATATCTGAATGCTGGTGACAAGCCTTACAGATTTACTCTCAGGTGGAGCATCAAAGCATCTGCTTTTAATGTCACACCTGATACTTTATTGTTATTGTTTTTTGAATGCTTTTTAATTCCGGCCAGACACAGAGATGGAGGTGAAAGAGAAAGGAAGAGAAGAAGAAAATGGGGGGGGGGGGGGGGTTCCACAAAAACAAACAACCAATGATGAACAAGAATCTGCTTTTAGACCTGCAGAAGGAGAGAGAAAAAAGAAAAGGGACACAGCAATACCAAAGGAGCAAGCTATCACTGCGTCAACCTGATGAGGAAATATAAAATCAACATTGTTTTACTGAACAATCACGATAATAAATCACAGTGCATTAAGTGCCAATCACAGCCGACATGTGTTGAACGTGCCCAAGTCCATACTTATGAGAGCACCATGTGAGCACCTGAGTGCGTACACGCGCTTGTATATGTAAGGTTTCTCTATAGGAGCGTCCAATAGAGAGTGTGAGGGTCCACAGATCTGCCCTGTGTGTCCTCCTGCAGCACTCCCAAAGGACAACAGGCAAAACAAGACAAAAATGTCTGACGTGTTGAGTAAAAACTGCTATTTTTAGCATATTTTTATGGCCGACGTGTTGCTACCAGACGTACAGTGTGAGCACATGACTCGTGAGATCTGCCCTGCGAGGAAGTCGTACAGTTTGAGCTGAAGCTGATCGCTGCGAGTGAAAAAGTTGCACAGTGTACGCCCGGCTTAAGTCTCAGAGATTCAGGAGCTACCCCAGAGCGCAGGGACCCCAGGGAGACTGCGACCAGAAAAGCCCCAGCCCCCCTCGAGAGGCACAGAGGATTGCCCCGGGGGTCACAACCAGCAGCCGGCAGAGTCCCGGGGGATATCGGCGGTAAGCCCACAGGCCCGCCCGCAGCCTTCCACCCCCAAGCCGGCCGAGCCCGGAACCCAGGGGCAACCAGCCCCACCGGGGATCCAACAGAGCCCAGGGACCTAGATCTCACCAGGCACCCACCGGGATTAATCAGGCAGATGCTAAAAATCTTAACCCCCCTGACCCGGGAGCCGCAAACTCTCAGGCAGACCAAGGCACCACACTCCACACCAAGTGTGACAGGGGGAGGGGAGGCAAAGATGTATAGCAGCAAAAGAAGTCCCAGGAGAGGGGAGGAGTCAAAGGCCCCACCTGACATACAATCAAACACAAACACAGTCACACACTCCCTTCCTCATGCTCACACATACACATACAATCTTAGACTCACAAAAATGCACATCAGACACCCACTCATACTCCCCATACATACCCTATTCACTCTGGTCCCGGTATTGCTGCACAAAGGGTACAACCATCACCGGTTCCCAGAGTTCGACCCTTTCTGCTGGGGTGCTGATGAGCAGGCTTCCCCACCCAACGCTGAGCAAAGCGACCCACCATCCCAGACCCCAACCAGACGGCCAGATCCCCCTCCTAGCCTCCAGCCCCGGGAAGCCAAGCGACAACAGAGGTGTGCTCAGACCCCTAGTCACCCTCTGCCTGATCCAATACTGTGTTGGTATGTGTTGATGAGGTGTATTTGTCGCTGTGGTGAACGGGCAGTGCAGGCATCGTCTGGCCTTCGCCAGCTGATGCCACCACACCACCCCTCTTCCCCCCACAGCCCTCTGTGTCTAAATGCAGTTTAAAATTGGAAGTGGGCACTGGCACTAGGGATGAGGCTGAAAGATCCCCTTGCCAAATGCCGTTGTATGTGCTTACTCCCAAGGCCCTAAGAGCGTGTTTGCATGGAATGTCATTGGTGGGAGTGTTTAATGTGCAAATAAAATTGGGGGGCAGGCTGTCACAGGAATGCGGAAATGGGGTCCATACCCACACCCCCTTACTTGTCCACCCCCCAAAGTCCCAAAGTTGATGTATTTCCAAGAGCAAGCAAGGGGACAGACTGCTAGCGCTGATGGCTCATTGGACACCTGTCAATCAAAAGGACAAACCCCCAAGTGTTCATATTTCAAGCTTTAATTACTTTTAAATGGATGAGTTCCAAAAATATCACACCCCTAAGGGTCTCATTATCTTAACCTGAACCTAATTAACCTAAAAAAAAAGTTTGCACCAGGCTGTAAACATGCTCCTTTCTGGATCCAGCCCCTAGAGGGCAACTGTGGTTTTTGTCACCTTAGCATTGACATATTTTTTGTTAGAGTTTCCCCATTGGGAAGAACATGGATGTTTAAGGAGAACATGCTAACCCCATGCTCTTCATGCATGCATCGGGATTCCATGTTAACCCCATGCATGCATGAAGAGAACATGCTAACTTCACTCATGAGCAGGGAGAACATGCTATCATGCTAATGTGTTGCATGGACAGAACGTTAACTTGTGTTTTGGGAGAACCCGCTAACATGCTAACGTGTTGCATGGACAGAACGGTAACTTGTGTTTTGGGAGAACATGCTAACATGGGGATTATATATAAATGGTAAATGGTAAATGGCCTGTATTTGATATAGCGCCTTCTAGAGTCCTGGAACCCCCCAAGGCACTTTACAACACAATCAGGCATTCACCCATTCACACACACATTCACACACTGGTGGGGATGAGCTACATTGTAGCCACAGCTGCCATGGGGCACACTGACAGAGGCGAGGCTGCCGAGCACTGGCACCACCGGTCCCTCCGACCACCACCAGCAGGCAACGTGGGTTAAGTGTCTTGCCCAAGGACACAACGACAGTGACTGAGTGGTACTCGAACCTGCAACCTTCCGATTACGGGGCGAGCACTTAACTCCTGTGCCACCGTCGCCCCAAGCCTGCATGAGAAGAACATGCTGACTTTACTCTTGCATTGGGAGAACATGCTGACACTGACACAGAAAGGCTGGGATATGAACTTGTGACCTCCTCACTGAGAAGAAACAGTGCCACCAAATCCACAATACAACTCTTTAGTTATGGCCATTTATACTAATCAGAAGTAGGGAGGCCATTTCCACAACACCAAAAAGGAGGACATTTTTAAGATTGAACAAAGACAAACACAAAATCAACACCGTTATATCGTATGAGTATTGTGCTCACCAAAGACGTGAAGGTCTACTTTTTATATTTTTGACTTTTCCTGGCTGCTTCCAACAGTTTGTTGTTTGAGAGAAATT